ACGAACTTTCTAGTTTCTTCGCCCTGAATAGCGGCAGGTAGACTGCTGTCAGGCCTTTCTGTAGTTGAGGTTTCCACATTGGCAACTTTACTGTACTGATGTGTGCAAATTCAAGGATCAGTGGACATTTTAGGGGTTTTCGGAGCGACGAGTGGTATTTCAAAGAAATCTAAACAATTCCCACTGTTGCGTCAGCGATTTTTGGAGTTCGACAAACAACGCTGACATTTCATCGACTTTGGGAACATTCAATCGACAAACACAATTGGTCAAAACAATAGCCAATGAATAATGTCCATTCATGACCATCTAAACGATTCTTGCCATTCATCGACTCGATTGTCGTCGCCCACGTCACTGATGTTTCCACCAACAAAGCGTGCCGCCAAAGTCAAGAGGGCCGTGACGGCTGAAAAGTCTGCCAAGACTGTGTGGACCGCCGACATGGTGTCGACGCTGTTGGATCGGCGTTGCGACGACTTCGCAGCAAGCTTTGAACTACATAGAAGCGCAGCTCAATTGTCAGTCGTGTGGGGAAAGATCGCTTTGGCAGTAAATGTACAACATGGAACAAACACACCAGCGTTGGCAGCAAAGAACAAGTATTCCAGCCTTAAGCGCGAGTACTCTGCCATCCGAATGGCCGAGAAAGAAACTGGAAATGGCCCCCCTGTGGTGTACCCCATGTATTGGGACTGTCTTGTTTCGGCTTGGGGCAGCAAGTACGGCCTCGGTCATGTCGAATACGCGTTTGGAGCAGGCCGCAACGTGGAAGAGAGCGATGGAAGTGATGATGCTGACACTGAGCGTGACGACAAGAAACGTCAACCGATTGTTGATGCCGAAGTTGCGCGGCAGCGTGCAAAAAGACCAAAAAAGTTGGACATTGGGCAGAGTTTTGTTGCTCTTGGCGAGAGCCTGGCTGAAGGAATGAAAGGTTTGCATCCAACGACGATGAACGACAACCAAAAACAGGAAAATGCAAAGTTATTGTCAGCTATCGAAAAGTTGCAGGTCGCTGTGGAGCAAAGCACATCAATCCAAAGTGAACTTCTCAACTTCCTTCGTCGAAACAATTAGTTGTCGAATGTTGTATTGAAACTTAAACAAACTCATGAAGAAATTGTTTAGCATTGTCACGTGTTGTCTTCGTCTTCGCCAAAGCACTATCGATTGTGAACTGTTCGTTGGAGAATGTGATGTCACCGCCGAGATGCATCCAATCTTGGTTCGCAGGCTGTGATGAGTCTGGGTCGAGGTCAATAATCCAATTATGCAACACAAAAGTTGCCTCAATTACCATTGCCATTTTCTTTGTTGACTTGAATTCCAAATGCTTTTTGAACAATTGAAACTTGTTTTTCCACAAACCAAAGCATTGCTCGACAACAATTCGAGTGTGCGAGTGAACCAAGTTGTAGTGATCCTCAGCACTGCCCATATTCGTCACAATTTGAAATGGAGTGAGAACATGGGACAACAGAGTAAATCCAGCGTCAGCGAGGATAAAACCACCAGGGGGAATGATCTTACATTGACCAAGGACAGAGTTCCGGAACAACATGCGATCATTCTTCGACCCTGCACGCAGCGAATACGCCATGAATCGCTTCCTGTCGTCGACCAAGACCAACAAATTGAATGCAGGAAAACCCTTTCGACATTACCAACCTTCATGATCTCTGAACCGCTTGATCATGACAAGGCACCCATCCACAGCACCACACACATTTGGAAAGCCAGCAATATTTTCAAAACCGTTTGAAATGGCAGACCCCTGCGACAACGTTGACGGCAGAGTAACAGTGAGACCCAAATGAACATGTTTAGCAAAATCAAAACTTCCAGCACATGCTCGTGAGATTTTGTAATTCCAATGCCAAACACGAGAGCACTACAATCGAGACCATCACAATGAGTTAGGTAGTACAATGTCAAGGCCGTTAGGTCCATTATATCGAAACGTGACGATGGGTGCAGAGGATCGTGCATCTTGTGCCACGACTGTTCGATTCGTTTTGAAATCTCCAAAAAGGTTGCACGCGTACAGCGCATATATCGGGCAAACCACTCATTCTGACCACCACTGGCTTTGATCTTGCGCCACACAGAGACACCATCAACAACATACGTGTTCCTGCGCTCAGATGGAATAGTGCGGCCGTCAAGCACAGCAATTGTGACCGCAATGGCCACAATGGAGCACACCACAGGGAGGACGTCCATTGAAAGGTGAACATTCAATTCATGAAGAAAATACCGATTTTTAGCCAGTAAAACTGTCAGAACTCAGAAGTCGCTCCAGACGACCTCCTCGAGGTCGTCTGGAGCGACTTTTGCAAAAACCGATGAAAACGATTTTGATTGGCTGCCTATTCAAAAGTCGCTGACGCAAAATTCGCCCCGAAAAGCCCCTTACTGCTTTTGGACGTTCCACTCTTCGAGTTTTGTCTGCTTCGCATTCGATCCCGGTGGTACTTACCAGTATACTTGAAATTTGTAAATGCAATCT